AGAGAATAATTTCACAAATGATGATATTTTGTTTTAATAAGTGATGGAATTGTATTTGTAAAATAAAACATAATAAATTTATGTAGATTATGTCTAGTCATATGTGAATGTCACCTTTCCTGCTCTTTTTTCTCTCAACTCAAAAGTCAGGCTATTTTTTATTAGTTCCAAAACAGAAATGTGACATTTCTACCATTTGTTCTGTAAGATGAGAATTGTCGGCATAATTTAAAAAACTCTTAGGAAACAAATTTACATTTATGTGAAACAATTCAAAGAAGTTGAATGGAAGATTTCACTATAAGAACATGTGATTAGAATTATTGCATTTGTTGAGGAAAATTTTACCATGTAGATCTATATATTTTTTAACTTAATCCTTTAGGGGAAGGATTAAAAAGTTATCAGGGAAATAAATGGTAATGAAAAATATGGATAGAATTTGTGGAAAAAAATTAAAATATTGTAAAGTTGATTAAGTGCAATTTAAACAGATTTTTCTTGAATACACTTGAAAATACATATATACAACTGTAAAATTTGATTAAATTATAAGTCAAAAGGGACTTCTATTAACAATAAGCTAAGGCAGCTAAGAGAAGCTACAATCTATTATGAAACTATGTCTTTTTATGTAAGTGTTAATTTACTTTAAGCATTGTATATATTTAAAAATATTTTTTCCTTTCCAACACAAGATAAATAAGATTGTCTTAATTCCAGTGAACATAATTGAATTCAAAGAATGATGCTTGCAAAATACATAATGAATTAAAAAAATTCATATGACTTGATTTTCACTAAAATAATTTATTTGCTCTATTAAATTTAGAATTTAGTAATAGTTGAACCATGATATATTTAATCATTAGATTTTTTTCATTCTATTACTTGGATATTGGAGATAAGAGTTCTTCTGATGCAGTTGTAGGGCTTCTTAGTACCTTTTCTTGTATTCTCCCCATCATTTATCAAATAAATGTTGATGATTATCAGGATGTTGGGAAGTGAGTACTATTTCTAACAGGAGACCTGGAAACTTGTTTACGAAATCTTTGTGGAAGACCGTTTCTGTGAATCAGACTTGTTCTCACATGTTGTCTGACATCTACAACCTGAGGAAGAGATAAGGACTAAAATCTTTAAAGTTCCTCATTCGTAGCTATAGTGGAATGAATGAAGACACCCATCATTTGATCATGCAGAATTAGGGGACCATCTGTGTCAATAATATAGGATCCCGATGGAATTGGCAGCCAATTTTTAAAAAATGATGATAGTAAATTCAACTTCATTTCTTTTCAAAGAGAGAGAACTGCTTAATTTTGGAAGTGAAATAGGCAATAATTGTCCCAGGCAGAGAAAATATGTGTGTTTAGAAGATATGGTAAGGATGGGGGACTCCTTACTTTGAATCAAAGTGGAGATAGATTGCCATGGCACAGGTAGAGAGTAGGTACTTGAGAATGGCGTGCAACCAGAAACTGAAGGTAGAAGTCTGTCCTATGAACTGAGTAGACAATGGGATTCATAGAGTGAAAGCAGAGCTCTGTGCTTGAAGAGCACAGTCATTTTCAATTAGCTAATTCAAACTAGCTCAAAAAATATTTGTGAATACTTCTAATGCTTATAGTGTCAGTTAGACCATGGGAGTTAGACTATTGCTAGGAAGTCTTTACTATTTGTTGTACTCTTTTGGGGCATATATACCTGGAAATACCAGCATCTGTAAATGCCAACTTAAGAAAACTAACAAAATTGTATATTTTGCATCTCTTACACAAAACTAACCTTATGTTATAGTTATTGGAGAGGCACTGTAGTATTCTGGAAGTAGTTAAAGTCAATCCTTTCCATTTGTTTTAAGCAGTTTACTTTTGGTGGAAGTATTTGAGAAATAAGGGCCTGATAAGGGACAGTGGCTAGTGGAAATAGAAATTTGAAAAGATGAATGGAAAATTGCTTTGCAAAAACAGAGCTGATACACTTGAAGAAACATTGAGTAAAAATATCACTGAATCTATGACTCAATGGCTGAGAGGACGAAGTGCTTACTGTTGATTATTTGCCCTAAGTGCATGGGGAAAGATGTGACCTACAGAAATGTGGAAGTTAGTTCTTGGTGTTAATGCTGGCAGAGAGGTGGAGGGTACTTGTAGACTTTTTCATGTTCTCAATGTGTCATCTTTTTAGTTACTGTTTTTCATTTGAATCAGGAAATTGGAAATGCTGCTGTTTTCAGTATTAGATTAAGTGCGTAGATAAAAATCTCTTTTATTTCAACAAATTTGAGCAGTAGAATTAAATAAAAAGGAATTCTTTCTAAAAAATCCTAGGAGGATAAAAGGCTTTTCGTATTTTAATAGCTATCTATAGGCAATGCTTTTAACCTGTATTCTAGCAGCCAGGAGGAACTTTGAGGGATCAAAAGTTGTTTATGTGTTGTTTATCTACTTAAAGAAAATATGGTCATTAAAAGGACAAAAGACAGGGCAATTCAGCAGTGTTTAAGAAAAGAATATATTAAGAGGAAAACAGATTTCTCCCTGGGACAGCAGGGACTTGTCTTCCCCCTCTTTCCTAACTGCCCCATCTCTGCTTATATAGAAACATAGTCATGTACATTTATAACTGTAAGGAATCATTTGATTTTGGAATAATAGTACAGCATGTGTTTTCCAGTGGTGATGTACCTCATCCATTAGATACGTCATCTTTGGGTTCTAATTTTGTGGTGGACCAGAGGTGGAGTGAGAGCCTACTAGCTTGCTATGCACAAAGTGCTAATGTTCACATTGCAGAGAGACAAATATTTTACTGGTAAAGCCAAGTACAAATTTTCAGGTGAGCGGAAGGAAATAAGCAGGAAGAACAGAACATAGGAATCATCACAATATCATGAGCTACTTATAACAAGTGTAACCTTCAAGTTTACATTATATATTATCTTGTTTCTTATCTGACTCTTTGACAATAATGTACTCTCCTTAAGGATAGAGACTTTTGTTGCTTTTACTCGGTGGTATGTGCTAAGTAGAAGGTGCTCAATGAATATTTGAATACAGAAATTAATAGGTGAATAAGTTTCGCATCTACATTGGCTATGCTATTTGTCAAAAAGAATAAGAATAGTTAATGATAATGTAAATTATTAACCTTAACCTTAGGAGTATGTAATGGAAAGGGTTAACATTAATTCAGATATCATATAATATTTTATAAAGAAAAATTGATAACAGTGTATGTAAAGAATTGTATTTATGTTTTACTTTTTTATTTTGCTGGTTATATAATTATGAAATAGGAGAACAGCAGAATTGACATTGAGAGTAGGGGTGATGTCTGAATAGGAAGAAGCACATTTATAGTGTAATTTCCTTCCATCAAGTAGGGGATAAAATGGGATGAAAGTTTCTTACATTCTGGCCTTCCTTTAGTAATGATACTTGTAAAATCAGCTTTAACTTGATTAGTTTTGAGACTTTCAATATTCATATGTATAGAAGTTTTTAGTGAAGTGCTTCAAAATACAGAAAATTAAATATAAAAATATTTTTAATACCTATATTGAAAATAATGTAATGAACACAGCCATATTTAAAAAATACTGCTTTTGCTTTTTGATTCATATTTTATACAGTAATATAACATTTCAATTAGAGTTGAAATTCTTTTAATTTTCTTCAAATATTTTTATTCCATGAGATTGCAAAATTAACCTTGTTATACTGGTGTACGAGTTTAAATAATTTCAGTGTGCTTTCTTATTTTAAAGTCCTTTTAGTGATAAAAGTAATCAAGAGTTTTTTTTTTCCAATAGAAAAGCTTTGCTTTATAAGCTGTCAATTAACAAGTGTTTTAAAAAAAAAAAAACCTAAGGAATCACTCATTTAGTTTATTACAAAAATGAAGTTGTTTGCAACTAAAGAATATATTTTCATCACCTAACACTTCGTAGTGTGGAAAAATTCTTTGGTACCTGTTTTAAAATTTTTTACCATGTAGAATTTTCTAGGGAGAACTCAGTGCTAAACTGGTCACATTGATTTCCTTCAGTGGAGAAATCTGGATTATATAGACTTTGAAAACCTAAAGTACTTTGGTAATATATAAAATTTTGTACAATTAATATATATCAATTTGGAATAAAATTCTAAAAATAGGTACTCTTAGTTACTTTTAAATTCTCTTTAAAATTTGGTATCAAATTCAGAAGCTCATTCACAATGGATGTGATAGGAAGAGTAGAAGCAATGAAACAGGCATATCTCACATACACACATATCATATAGCATCAAATACATAGATTGGTCATTACATTGCTCTTTTCTGTATATTCAAGTAATTAATAAAGTAAATTGTTTTCTCTGTTAGATCTTGGTATTTATGATAATGTGAGGGAACATCATTATTTTTTTCTTTATTTTCTTAACAGAGAATGTTCTCTTTCTAACCCAGCATGGTTAACAATTATCATTTTCACACATTTGAGTATGTTGTCTTGGAGGGGGAAGTTAATGGTCTGTTAATTTAAGAAATTAGCAAAGTGTTAATGATTTGACAAGTGTACTCTGTGTTGTATAATTGAAAACTGTTTATGAGCCCTTAGTTACTAAAATATAACATAACTGATTTATGGAATTTATTGTTTTATAACTCATGTTTTTTAACTATACATCTCTTTCTATTTTGGGATGTAATCAAACAGTAGATCAAAGGCAGAGAACAACAAAATCAACATTGGAAAAAAATGTAACCCTGTTAATTTTTACTTCTTATTTTCCTTAATATATAGAATGCTTCAGTCACTGAAATGTATTAATTATACTCTACTGTAGTTAACCTTTTAGATATTTTAATATAAATTACTTTAAATAATCAGTAATTTAAATTTTGAACAATGATAGACATGATTTAAAATGGCACCATGCATTTTTAAAATGTTTATATATTTTTACATTTTTACCACCTCAGTGACCACTGTTTTATATTATTTCTAGATAAAAGAGTGGCTCTGTTTAAACTGTCAGATGCAAAGAGCTCTAGGAGGCGAACTGGCTCCAGTTTCTTTATCACCTCAGCCTAAACCCAAGACTGTTCCTTTTAGTCCTGCGTCAGCAGCAAGCAAGCCTTCTCCACAGTCGCAGCCAGCGTCTCCAAAAAAGGATACTGCACCCAAACAGGATATCTCAAAGACACCTGAGTCTAAAAAGCCCCCACCATTAGTGAAACAGCCCACTCTCCACGGTTCTCCCCCAGTCCCAGCCAAGCCAGCCCCTCCCAAAGAGCCTTCTGTCCCATCTGAGCAGGCCAAGTTCCCCGCGACTGAAGATAAACCAAAGCAGCCCAAGACGGTAAAGTCAGCTCCAGAGACTGTGCCCTCATCGTCAGCAGCCACAAAACCTGATATTCCAAGCTCCAAAGTACAAACCCAGGATCAAGAGAAAACAATCCCTCCTCTAAAAACAGATGCTGCCAAACCCTCCCAAAGTTTTCCACCAACAGGTGAGAAAGTCACCCCATTGGATTCTAAAGTTATACCTCGACCAGCATCAGATTCAAAAATTATTTCACACCCTGGGCCCACTTCAGAGAGCAAAGGTCAAAAACAAGGGGACCCAGTTCAAAAGAAGGAGGAGCCTAAGAAAGCACAAACCAAAATGAGTCCTAAGCCAGATGCCAAGCCAATGCCAAAAGGGTCGCCGACACCTTCAGGCCCACGACCAACCACTGGCCAAGCTGCTCCTGTGTCTCCACAGCCCTCAAAGCCTCAGGAACAGCCCAGACGTTTCAGTCTGAACCTGGGAAGTATTACCGATGCCCCTAAATCACAGCCAACAACTCCTCAAGAATCTGTGACTGGAAAACTTTTTGGGTTTGGCGCATCAATCTTCAGTCAGGCATCAAATCTAATCTCCACAGCTGGCCAGCCTGCATCTCATTCACAAAGTGTGTCAGGGGCCCCCACCAAACAAGTCCCACCTCCTTCACAGCCACCTATGTCTCAGGGGCCCCCCAAATCCATGGGCACGGGTCAGGCGCCACCGGTACCTGCAAAAGTGACACCTGTGAAAAGGGAAACAAAAGCTCCTGTGGCTGGAAAATTAGAGTCCAAAGCCGAACAAGCTCCAACAATAAAAAGAACAGAAATAGAAAAGAAGCCTCCACCTGTTAAGGATAGCAAACCTGCACCAGCTGAGCCTCAAAAACCTGTCCTTCCCAAAATGGAGAAAACCCCCAAACCAGACTCAGCCTGTCCACTCTGCAAAACTGAACTCAACGTGGGTTCAAAGGCTCCTCCTAACTTCAGTACCTGCACGGAATGCAAGAAGCAAGTGTGTAATCTCTGTGGATTTAACCCTACACCACACTTGACTGAGGTAAGCCATGTATTAAATATACATCTATGTTACATATGGATTTGATTACATTGTGTTTTTTCTGAAATATTTTGGTAACCAGGTTTCTGAGGAAAAAATACATTTCTAGTGAAGAAAACAAGTAAGTATTGGTATCTTAGAAGACGTTTCAATTTATTTATTACAGGCTTTCTTATAAAAATTTATGAGGTTTATGCTTCTTTGGATTAATGTACTAGAGCAAAAAGATGATATAAATTGCAACTTATATGAAAATTATTTCAGTCCTTCATGAATTAAAGATCTACATCTTAGGACTATTTGCTTTTCACCTACAAATGCCAAATAAGAGTTGTAATTTACTCTTCTCAAAATCTCTGATTTTTCTGGTATTTTTAGTACATTAAAAAAAAGTAAGGTTGATACCTACCAGATCTGTAAACAATGAGATCTATTATTTTGCAAAAATCAAGAGCTTTATAGAAGTTAATATTGCCTAACTAGAAAATATTGTTTAAAATACATTATGTCTAGGCTTTTTAATAATTTTGTTTCAGCTATTATGTGGCATAAATATAATAGAGAACTTTATTAGGAACTGTGAAAGAAAAAAAGAGGCATATATTTCAGTTTGTAACATCAGGGAATTTTTTTAATGGGATGACAGTGGCATTTTCTACACAATTCAAATGACCAAAAAGCAGAAGGCAGATTTCTGCTTAATATAGTTATCAGATAATGAATCTATAAGCATTAGTAATGTGTTAGGGCTATTAGAATATTTGGATTTGGGAGGATACTGAATGGTTAAGCACTTGCTGCATAGTTAAATAACATCAATGTTTTAATAAGATTTGTGGGAATGAATTTTAAGTAATTTTCATTGTTTTTATACAAATCAGAAATACTTAAGGATTATTTTTCCACTGTCCTTGATTTTGTAATTCACTGGAATTGAAAAATTAAATAGATTTTAGCAATTATGTAAAAGAGTTAATTTGGGTTAGTTTTTAAAAAGATTAAACCATGAGAAATATTTTCTTTTTTCTTCTGAAAGACAGATTGCTTTGACATGATTAACAACATATTAACGTATTGTCCCTATGAACTTAAGCAGATTTTCAGAATGTTAACTGAAATCTATTTGAAAGGAAGATAAAATTTGGTTTCTCTTAGCACTTTATGAGTGGAAACAACTATAATTGTGACAGTGTTTTCGATTCAATGAAAAAGTAAAACAAAAAATAAACCTTAAGTGCGTTTCATATTTTTAGAAGAGTTGTTTTAGTTGTGTATTCATGATGAGTGAAATTTTGATTTTCCCTATACAATTGTGTTTATTTTGTAGATTTAAAAAAATTGTACCCTTTGTTCAGGAAGCCTTATGGAATAAACATAAGGCAGTTAATTTAGTGCTAAAGCAAACAGTAACAGTAAAGACAAAACTATAAAATTTGCATTTCAAGTGTATTTGTGCATACTAGAAAGGTGTATTGTGGAGGACTGTGACGTGTGTATGTTTGTCCATATATTCATTCGGACCATAGTGAGTATTAGAAATCTGTCCGAATTTGGAGGTATGAGAGACCCTTGGGTAGAGAGAACATGAATATTTTAGGAAAAATCTTTGATTTTCTGTGTGTTGGCAAATTAAATTTTGGATGTGGTAACTTGGAAAGGAGATTTCTTGACTAAGATGTGGAATTTCAATAGAAAATATAAATGGTCTCAAGCATTTAGATGGTTTAGGCAAAATCCTATTTTAAATATGTTAAGTGGGATTTAGACAATCTGTCATTGTTCAGATTATGTTGCACTTTGAATTTGGAAGATCATGTTTCAGAGGAGAGAAAAAGAATTTGATGTAACAATAGCAATGGACTGGTGCTTCTAGTCCAAGTTGACTATGGTGAACCAAATGAAATTTTCAGTTAGTCTAGGCCTGACTGCCAGTGGTCTCCAGGTAAAAGTCCATTGGCTGACCTGGCGTCAAGTGAGTGAATGAAGGTTAGTGGAGATATTTCCTACTATTATTCTATTATTACCCCAGAGCACATTGTTGGATGGGCAGAAGGGGTTAATAGTATTTGTTAGAATGTGTGAGCAGAAAGGCACATTGTATTTTCTTGTGTGTGTGTGTGTTTGTGTATACATATATCTCTAGAAAATTGTAACTGTTACAGGACAACCCCAATGTTAAATGGGTTGCCTGACTGTGAGTCCTCACCCATGTGCTTAAAAGGAACTTATAATGAGACTCAACTGCAGGCACACACAAAAAGTTTAATAAAGGTTTATTTATTTTTTTTAAAAGGGGAAAATGAAGAAAAGAATAACTCAGGGAGTAAGAGAAATAAATTGGTGAATGTGTCCTACCAGTTCCACTGAGTTAGGACCCTAATAGAACACTGAAAGTTGGTGAAAGATCAAGCACCTCCAAGGCCCACATATCTGCTATATACCAAACCTGGCTGCTTAACTCCATCCTCAGTTCCCAGCATCCTCCCTTCGGTGGTGATGACATTTCTGGATTAGTGGTCCTTGGTGCCTTGGATCTCTTTGGTCTGGGGAGGGCGAGGAGTCCATAAAACCTGTTTGTGGAGTTTGTTCAGGACATCCCTTCCCCAACTTAATACGATTTAAAGGTTTAGTTTGTCATGCTCTCACTGTTCATGCTATTAGTCTCCCCCATTTCTGTCAGTTAGTTGTGATTAGGAAACCATCATCTCCTTGATTCTTATTTTTATTTCTGCCTCTTCTTCATTCTGCTTTGTGATATTTTTCTTATGCTCCATTATTTTCTGCTGGTCTGGCACTGTATTTTGATTCTAGTTTTAGAGAGCTCATTCTGAAACACAGGCTGCATGCCTGTGGGTCAGGATTCAACCTTTTCCATTTATTTTTCTAATAAGTGATAATTAAGTCTGTATTAGCCTCTATACCTACTACCCTAATCCCTGAGAGGCAGGACTTCTTTTCTTCTTGGTGCCATTTTGCACTCCCCGATAGCTGTTGGTTGTGTTCCCCGTGTGCTGAAGAGAGCTGGTCTTAGTTTTCCATGCCTTAGGGAGCCCAAGCCAGTTCCCTCCCTCTCCTGCACATTAATCAACATACCTGTCCCTAAGGTTGCTTCCTGTCTATGCTACACAGCATCTCCCACAGCACCAGAGGAGTGCCAGGGCTGCCTGCTGGGCCCTGGGCTGGAGCCAGGCTTCAGCCTAAGCTTTATGATTTAACTGTTTGATGCTTAGTTTGTATAAATGGTGTTAAAATCCATTAAGGAACAACTTCTGCCAAATCAGGGGATATCTTATCTTGGAAGGAGTTTTAAAAGTAGCAGCAGGGCTTTCTGAAAGAGCTAGTCTTATGCATTCTGGAAGCATGCTGAGAAAAACAGCCTGTATTGGCAATCAGTTTGCCTAGTAAAATTTAATCATCCTAGTTCAGTTCACATGCAAAAAAGGTGTAAAAATTACTCATAGCAGGTATTTATTTTGTTGTTTTTACTAGCTTCTCACAAGTAACCTTTTACTATGAAAATAAGGCTTTACACTGTTTCCTCATGTTTCAGGAACTCCTAGAGTCATAATTTTGCTTCCTTATTAGTAAGATAATTGTGTATGGCTTAAGAGATATAGGAATAGCTAGCATATATTTGTCACTAGGCAACAAACAGGGCTTTTGAATCAATTAAGACCCAGTGGTGCAACTGAGATCCCTTCAGATATTTACACTCAAATACCCAAGGAAGGCCTAGTGGAGATGAACTGCATTTTCTTAGTTTGACAAACACATAATATCATTGCTTTAATAGTAAAAAAATCACATATCCAAATGTACTTAAGTACACACACATATACACACTCTCTTTCATTCATATACAGGAGAAACTAAAGATTGAAAGAATGATCAAAATTCATTAAAGAGAAAAGTATTTACCAATAATCAGTTTACAAAAACTTATATAATGGATATCTACATTCTGACTGCTTATTTCTGGCTTTCATGGCCAAGAGGGAAATCTGATGCCACTTTTTGACTGATATAAAAAAGCTGGTGTTTGTGGAAACACAATTTTTAGTTATTCATTTAAAAAATGTAGTATTCATTTTTAGGAGAAATTTGATATGTTATCTTTTTGTTAAGTAGTACTTAGTTGAATAAAGTCAATGATAGTTTTAAAATGGAAATTTTTAAAACCAATTTATAAAAATAAATTAATTAGTCTTTTTTTCTATGCATTTTTGCACAGTTAATATTCTACTCTATAGAGTAGTTCTATATTCCAACCTTAACATATATTTTATACTATTTCCTCATGTAATTAAAGACCTAAATATTTACAATGATTAATTCTTGGATGTATGCTTTTTCATCCACATTCTCTTCAGATTAGGGATTTAGGCTTTCATTTTTTTATTATAAATAAGATGAAAATTTTTGGAAATAAATGTTTGTATTCTAAATTCTTTCCCAAGGAAAACTAACCTCCCTAAATGAAAGGCAATAACCCTGAAGTATCAAATTTTCTTTGGAGATGTGAAATAGTTAAAATTGCCACTGCTAGTATATATGGTTGCTTTCTTACTACAGTCTCTCCAAAATTGAGTAATATCACTTAAAATGATATTTGTTAACATGGAAGTCTAAAAAGACTATTTATTGTTGATTTGATTTGTATTCCTTTGATTACCAGAACATTTTTCAGACATTAAATATGAGCAGATAATTCTAATTATGATCCCAGCAAACTTTTTGTACAGACATTGTGGGAAAAATAAACTTATCAATCCTGCTATTTTTTTTGTTAACAGGGCTAGAATTTACCAGACCTGTGTGAAAGGCATTGTGCCAGATATTTGTCTCACTCTACACTGTGTGGTAGGTTTTGTACTTATTTTAGGAATTAAGAAAATGAATATCAGAAAAGTGCAATTATCAAGCCAGAGAGGCATAGCTCAGAGGCTGAGCCAGTGCTTTTTCTCCTATACTATGTTTAAATAACCTGGGGAACTAGCTAA